TCCTCAGGGTCCTGTCACCTCTTCTCATTGTGCARCGTTTTCTGCCACACTTTTTCCTTCCCACAGACTTCCCACTGAGGTACATTGATACAGCACTCTGGGAACAGCCTATTGGTTCAGAAATGTCTTTCTGTGTCTTACCCTCTTGCTTGAGGGTGTCAATGATGGCCTTCTGGACAGCAGTCAGGTCAGCAGTCTTATCCATGATTGTGGTTTTGAGTAATGAACCAGGCTGTGAGTTTTTAAAAGCCTCAGGAATCTTTTGCAGGTTTTTAGAGTTAATTTGTTGATTCAGATGATTAGGTTAATAAGTAGTTTAGAGAACCTTTTCATGATATGCTAATTTTTTGAGATAGGGATTTTTTGGTTTTTCTTTACTTTTTTGCCAAAATCATCAATTTTAAAACAATAAAATATACATTTACATACACACACAGTCCATTTAATAATCACCCTTTTGGTGGGACGTATATGGTTTGTTGGATCGATGTGCTTTTCTACCTTTTTGTGATAAGTTTATCTAATTTGTTAAATTAGATTAACTCAATAATTTAATTTGTATATTGACAATAAACGCTTCTTGATTCTTGCAGCAGGAACATTCCAATATGTATATATAATATACATATTGTGTATGTATATGTGTATTGTATATGTACATATTATGTACATCTAATTTGTATAGAGTTTACACTTTTTACTACCCATCATCAAAACATGAAAATAGAAAAATAGTTATGATTCAGTCAGTTTTAAAGAAATTAAGCTAAATTTAGGTGTGGTGGCTGGGAGTCATTATGAGTCAACAAGAAAAGGTTATCTAGCGGTAAAGGTTAAAACCAGCATTTTAACTCACCAGCAATTATGTGTTAAAAACATAAAAAGGACGTTTCTATTTAAAAGTCAAGAAAAATTCAAAAGAGAAAAATGTAAATTTGTAAATAAGCTGTCATTTGTTCAATCAATATTGTAATAGAGTTTTGTTGAATAAAAAGTAAACTGAATGTGAAAGTAAAGACCTTTCTGAAAAGCCGCTGACTTCCTCCTCCTGCAGAGGTGGGGTAGTAGATGTAGACATTGTGGTCCTCAGCACAGACAGGCTTCTCCACAAAAGGCTTCTGGAAAATCTCTCCATTCACCTCCACATGGTCCTCTCCTTCTACCAGGTTACACTCTGAGACAAACATACAGWGTATATGTTGCTATTTGTCAGCAGAGACTTTTCATTAATCTAAAAACACAGACAGATGACGTTTGACCCTGCACTGTTTACTCTTGAGCCCTGTGAAGCAGCTCTGATTTAACCATGTGACTCTCACTGACTTTCATCTGATCACTCATCCCACATGGGACTGAGACTGTWTCTCCAAACAAAACTTAAATGACAACTCATATCAGAGAACAGAACTGTGGGACACTTCACATTTACTGCTATATTTATCCATGAGCTGAGAGAAATCAATGCCTTCTAAAATAAACTGAGTCACAATGCTGCATGGACAAGAGCTTCAGTGCCATTTTACTTTTAACAAGCGTGAATACATTTTAGTAAGGGCTGGTTCAAATCAAGTGTACAAAAAATGTTAAGTTTTCACACAACCTATTTTATGAGAAATGAAGCTGAAGCTTTTTGATCTTGGGCCCAACTTGTTGGGTCTAAAGTGGCATGAGGCCCCTTCAGACATTAATGCACAGATCAAAGTGATGATTTAAATCTTGTTTTTATTTGTATTTACATTGTAACTAAATGAAATGTACTTACATTTTAACAAGCAAAGACCTTAACCTAAGTAAATCATAAGCCATTAATAAAGCCTCTTTCACAAGACAGTTCAGAGAAATCACCGCACAGACCAGCCCGGCTTTAAGCTTTTCATAAAATCACGGGTGAAGCCGGCCAGCTCCCGCTCACATGTATGTGTTCAGAAATGAACCTAGCACTGTGGAAAGTGTGTTGCATCTCAGTCAACTGAAAACCAACAACATCCCGCTGCCCTCACAGCCCACAAATGAAAACCATAATTTTTTGAGGCCCTCAAGTTGGTGATCACGGCACAATTGTGGGTTGCGGCCCAAGGCTTAAAAATGTGTGAATTAGACTGACCATCTGGTTTATCTGGGTCACGGTTCAGCACAGCATAGCGTGGCAGCTCGATCCCTTCCTCCTGCAGGATCCGATACACTTCTCTCCTGTTTCAAAACAACAAAAAAACTTTACAAAAAACAAAACAGTTGCATTCTATTTTTAGTTCCTTCCAGATAGGAAGTAAATGTTTTCAGAAAATAGCTGCACCTGTCCTGTATATAGTACTGCATGTTCAGATCATTGATGAGCAGAGGATTTCTCAGTTTGGCATAACTCACAGCCTTATCCAATGGGAATCCTATTCAACACACATAGCAGACAAATTATTACAAGTATCAGTTAAAGACAATACCCTACAAATACCGTATTTTTCGGACTATAAGCCGCGACTTTTTTCCTGAACTTTGAACCATGCGGCTTATAGACCGGTGCGGCTTATAC